ACAGTGCTGAGGCCTGACTCTGAAGGGCAAGCCAGGAGCTCAGGTCACGCAGAGTCATGCTCTGGCAGTAACATCTTCTCCACACTCTTCACATGGCCTTGTGTTGCCAGTCGCCCAAGCCCCCTCTGCAAGTCGCAGGCTCAAAGGCCCGTGAGGCAGGACTGTGTGGCCTTTCCCAAGAGGGATGTCCTGAAGCTACCATCACAACTACCACACCTTCCTCCCTGGGTTCTCCCATAGAAGGCAGGTCACTGAGTTTCTAGCCATTCCCCACCCACTCCTGCCTCAGCCATCCTTCTAAAGTGTCTGCTGCCGGGCATGGTGGCTCAAGCCAAGGCAGGAGGATTGCTTGAGCCCAGGAGTTCGAGACCAGCCTGGGTCACATAGCAAAACCTCATCCTTTACAAAAAAATATTTAAAAATCAGCCAGGTGTGGTGGCGCATGACTATAGTCCCAGCTACTCGGGAGGCTGAGGTGGAAGGATCACCTGAGCCCAGGAGATCAAGGCTGCAGTGAGCTGTGATTATGCCACTCTGCTCCTGCCTGGGCAACAGAGTTAAGACCCCCGATCCAACAACAGCAACAACAAAAAAAGACAACGTTTCCATAATAAATATATAAATACAAATACAACGTCTGGGAGTGGTGTGTCACACCTGCAATCCCAGTACCTTGGCAGGCAGAGGCAGGAGGATTGCTTGAGCCCAGGAGTTAGAGACCAACTTGGGCAACATAGTGAGACCTTGTATCTATATAATAATAATAATAACAACAACAACAATAATAAAGTGTCTGTTGGCCCCTGTCTGCCCTGCAGAATGCTTCCTTCCACCAGCAGTTCTCCCCTGGGCACCACTTCTGGGAGAGAGGTACAACCTAAGGAGCAGAAATGAACAAATGTGGTCACGATGGTGAGAACAGTCAGGGAGGAAACAAGCGAGGTGACGGGAAAGCTGGCAGGGCTTGCTCAGGATGTGGTTGGGAAATTCTCTCTGAGGTCACGTGATGTGGCGACCTGCGGGTGAGCGGCCAACAGACCGTGGGAGGAAGGTGTTCTGGGCCCAGCAGAAGGGCCCTCAGGCTCTGAGAAGGGGACGTGCACGCTGTGGTAGAGGCACAGAAAGGCTCTTTCTCTCCCTGTCCTCCAGACAGATTAGGCCAACGACCTCCTCTCATCTCTATCCGAGGCTTGACAGGCACTCCAGTCTCAACACAGCCAAGCCACCCCCCGAGCTCTGCCCTTCACACTGTTCCCTCTCTCAGTGACAGGCAACCTCATTCTGTCCATGGCTCGGGCCCCCAAACCTAAAGTCACCCTAGACTCCTCTCAAATCCTAATGCTTCAAATATCCCACCACGTTCTGCCTCCTCCATAGCCATCAGCTTGGTCTTGGCCATCATGGTCTTATACCTAGACCACTGCCGGGGCCCTTGGTTTTTCTGTTTCTTCCTGTCCCTCGCTGCCTGCTCTCCACACAGAAGACAGAGGGACGTCACTACAACACAGGAGCCAGTGGCCCTCGTTGCCTCCCATCTCACTCGTCAAACCTAGTGCCCACCTGGCCTATGCCACCACCTCTGCTATGGCCCCCATGCTGGCCTCAGCGCCTACAGCTCTCCTATTCACACCACACCAGTCACGCTGTTCCTCCTGCAGACCAAGCACACTGCCACCTCAGAGCCTGGGCACTGCTGCTTCCCTGTGTCCCTGAGGTTCACCCCCCAACTTCCTCCTGGTCTCTGCGCATTTATCTCAGAGAGAGGCAGCGTTGTCTTTAAGCACATGGGAGGTTGCATTCTAGGCAAGGATCATTTGGAGCTTGTCTTAGAAAGTGAGCGGAAGGGTCTTCTCTCTCCATACATATACAGGGGGTGGGGGAACCCCAAAACATGAAATATATTTATAAAAAATTGCGTTTTTGTTCTTACACCTTTAAACTTCAGTCACCTTCAAAGTACTCTCCGTTTGACGTAGTACACCTATCAAGACACTTTTTCCACTGCTCAAAACAGTTTTTGAACTTCTCAATTTTGATGCCTTTTAGGGCTTCAGCCGTTTTTTGTTTCACCACTTCCACATCGGCAAAAATGTTTCTCTTTAAGGATTTTTTTCATCTGGGGATATTAAAAAAAGTCATGGGGCGAGATCAGGTGAATAGGGAGGGTAGGGCATGTTTTTTGACAAAAACTGCTGAACACTCAGCGTGGTACACGCAGGTGCGTTGTCACAGTGGAAGCACCAGTTACCTGTTTGCCACAAAGCAGAACGTTTTTTCCCACAAGTTGTGACACAACCTTCTCAAAACTTCCAGATAAAAACTTCAGTTGACTGTTTGATATGGAGGAACAAATTCAGAGTGTGCTACAAGAGGCTGCCCTCCAAAAAAAAATTCCATCTTTGGGGGAACCTCCTCTCATACACACACACACACACACACACACACACACACACACACACACCCCTACACCTGTCCCTCAGTAGCCATAGGGGATTGGTAGACCTCCAGTGGATACCAAAATACATGGATGTGTACGTCTTTTATATAAAATGGCACAGTATTTGCATATAACATATGCACATCCCCCTATATACTTTAAATCATCTCTGGATTACTTATAATACCTAATACAATGTAAATACTATGTAACGAATTGTTAAACTGTATTGTTTAGGGAATAATGAGAAGAAAAATAGTCTGTACATGATCAGTACAGATGTAACCATCATAGGCGTAAACCAGTTTTTTTTTTGAGTCAGGGTCTCACTCTGTCATGCATATTGGGGTACAATGGCAGAATCATTGTAGCCTCAACCTTCTGGGCTCAGGTGATCCTTCTGCTTCAGCCTCCTGAATAGATGGAATTATAGGCATACACCCTAATTTTTTTTAATACAAAGATGAGGTCTTGCCATGTTGTCCAGGCTGGTCTCAAACCTATAGGCTCAGGCAATTCTCTCGCCTCTGCCTCCCAAATTGTTGGGATTACAGGCGTGAGCCACCACACCTGGCTCTGGTTAATTTTTTTATTTTTTGTAGAAATGAGGTCTTGCTGTGTTGCATAGGCTGGTCTTGAACTTCTATGCTCTAATGATCCTTTGTCTCTGCCTCCCAGAATAACGGGATTACAAGTGTGAGCCATCACGCCCAGCCAAAACCACATTTTTGATCCAGGGAGGCTGCATCCAAGGATGCAGAACCCGCAGATACAAAGGACTGACGGTATACACATATGCAGTAATATACATATGAGGTCTGACAAGTTCACAAACTCATCCTAGAAAAGTGCTACACACCTCATTGCTGAATATCACTACAGTCACCCTCAAAGTACTCCCCTTGGGAAGCTATACACTGACGTCAGCACCTAGTCCATCTATCAAAGCAATTTTAGAACTCTTTTCCTGGAAGGATCAACAGAGCTGTGGTCATATTACCTTAATGTCCTGAATGTCATCAAATGTTTCCTTTCAATATTTCCTTTATCTTTGGGTAAAGAAAAAAGTCACCGGGGGCCAGATCAGGTGAGTAGGGAGGGTATTCCAATACAGTTATTTGTACAGTGCTGCCAACATACACACAGTGGCAGGTTTGTGAACTTAATTGTCAGACTTCAACAAATAACCATGACAGCTCTGGTGGCCATTCCAGAAAAAGAGTTCCAAAATTGCTTTGATGGGTGGACTAGGCGCTGGAACCAGTGCATAGCTTCCCAAGGATAATGCTTTGAAGGTGACTGTAGTAATATTCAGCAATAAGGTATGTAGCACTTTTTCTTTTTTTGAGTTGGAGTCTCACTCTGTCACCCAGACTGGAGTGCAGTAGCACACTCCTGGTTGCTGCAGCCTCCACCTGCTGGACTCCGGTGATCCTTCCACCTCAGCCTTCCAAGTAGCTGGAACTACAGGCACGTGCTACCACGCCCAGCTCATTTTTGATTTATTGTAGAGACGAGGTCTTGCTAAGTTGCCTGGGTGGGTCTCGAATCCGTGGGCTCAGGCAATCCACTCGCCTCGGCCTCTCAAAGTACTGGGATTACAGACTGAGCTACCAAACCCAGCCCTTGTAGCACTTTTTCTAGGATGGCTCACCAACCTAATGGTTGGACCTTGTATACACATACACACACACACACACACACACACACACACACAGTGCCAAAACAATGTCTACACATTTTAAGAGATGTTATCTATGTATTACTTTTTGAAGTTGAATTGAATTATGATAGTGTTGTGTAATATGATGTTCAAATGAATGCTAGCATCACCATGCTACGGGTAGGTCTATATTGAGTATTACAATTTTTGTTTGTTTTTTGAGTTGGAGACTCACTCTGTCACCTAGGCTGGAGTGCAGTGGCACACTCATGGCCACCGCAGCCTTGACCTGCTGGGCTGAGGTGATCCTTCTGCCTCAGCCTTCCAAGTAGCTAGAACCACAGGCATGTGCCACCACACCTGGCTAATTTT